GCAGATGAGTGGATTAAAAAACGGTGGTACATCTACACAATGGAATACTACGCTGCTGTAAAAAGGAAGGAACTCCTACCATTTGCAACAGCATGGCGGGACCTGGAGAGCATTATTCTAAGCAAAATAAGCCAGCTGGAGAAAGATAAATATCACATGATCTCACTTATTTGAGGAATATAATGAACAATATAAACTGATGAACAAAAATAGATCCAGAGACATAGAAGCATCAAACAGGCCGTCCAACCTCAGAAAGAAGGCAGAGGAGGGGGGACAAAAGGTCAACCAAAGGACCTGTATGAATGCATATAAGCATGACCCATGAACACAGAGAGCGGGGGGGGGGGGGGGGGAGGGTAAGGGCATGTTCTGGAGGGGTGGGAACCGCCAGGGAAAAAAGGAGACATATGTAATACTTTAAACGATAAAGAATTTTTTTTTAAAAAGTTACCCTTTAAAGAAAATCAGTCATATTCTATGCATTAGCAATGACAATCTACAAAGGAAATTAAGAAAATTTGATTTAAAATAACATCAAAATGAACAAAGTGCTTAGGAATAAATTTAACCAAGAAGGCACAAGACTTACACACTGAAAACTATCAGACATTGCTAAAAGAAATGAAAGATACCCTACATAAGTGGAAAGCATCCCATTTTCCATGGACTGGAATACTTAATATTGTTTAGATGAGAGTACACTCTAAAGTAATCTACAGATTCAATGCAATTCCTACTAAAATCCCAGCTGCCTTTTTAGTAAAAATAAACAAATGATCTTAAAATTCACTTGGAATTTTAAGAGATCACATGTAGTCAAAAAATGTTATAAAGAAGGACAAAGTTGAAAGACTCATACTTCCTGATTTCAAAAATTACTACAAAGTTACAGTAATCTAAACAGTGTGGTACTGTCTGGTCTGAATGGAACAGAATTGAGAGTACAGAATTAACCCAAACATCTGGGGTCAACTGTATTTTGACAAGAATGCCAAGACTGTTCAATGGGGGAAAGAAGACTTTCTTTAACAAATAGTGCTGGGAAAATACCCTACTGAAGAAGAAAGTTGCACCCTTAACTCACATCATATAAAAAATTAATTTAAAATAGGTTGAAAATCTACACATAAAAGCTAAAACTACAAAGCTCTTAGAAGAAAACAGCAGGAAATCTTCAAGACCTTTGATTTGGCGTAGGTTTCTTAGATATGAAACCAAGAGCATGAACAAAAGAAAAAATAGATAAACTGGACTTCAAAATTAAAATACTTTCTGTATCAAAGGACACTATCAGAGTGAAAAGACAACACACAGAATGGACAAAAATATTTGCAAATCATATATCTGATGAGGGTCTTTTATCCAGAATGTATAAAGAACACCTAAAACTAAACAAAGACAAACAATCCAATTTAAAAATGGGTAAAGGACCTGAAGAGACATTTCTCCAAAGAGGATATACAAATGGCAAACAAGTATATGAAAAAGATGCTCAATGTCATTAGTCATTGGGAAAATGAAAATTACAGTGAGATACCAGTTCACACCCACTAGGATGGCAATAGTTAAAAAAAAAAAAAAGAAAACAATGAGTGTTGACAAGGATGTGGAGAAATGGAAATGCTCATGCATTGCTGGTGGTATTCTAAAATGGTGAAGCTGCTGTGGAAAATAGTTTGGCAGCTCTTATATAGGTAAACATAGAATTAGCATATAACCTAGCAATTTCACATCTAGGTCAGGTATATACTTGAAAGAACTGAAAACAGGTGTTCAACAAAAACTTGTAAAGGAATGTTCATACCAGCGGTAGCACTACTTACAATAGCCAAAAAGTAGAAACAATTCAAATGTCCATTAATGGGTGAACAATAAACAAAATGTATTTGTACAATAATATTCGTATTGAATATTATTCAGCCATAAAAAGAAACAGCATGGCTGAAACTTGAAAACAGTATGCTAAGTGAAAGAAGCCATACACAAAGTCTACATATTGTATGATTCCCTATATATGAAATATCCAGAACAGGTGAATTAACAGAGTCAGAAAGCAGATTAGAAAGTTGCCACAAACTACTGGTGAGAAAGAATAGAAAGTGACTGTTTAATGGGTAGAGGCTTCTTTCAGGGTGATGAAAATGTTCTGGAACTAGACAGCTGTGGTGATTGTACAACAATGTGAATGTACTGGGTGTCACTGAATCAAACACTTTGGTGGATTTTATAACAATTTAAAAATTATATTTAATTAAAAAAACTTTTGCATGACAAAAGAGAATAAAGTCTCATATCAAGAAAGGCAACTGAAGTGGAAAACTATGGTAAAGGCAAATTATAAAAAGTCAGTATCTGAAGATTTGAATTATTTATAAAGATTTGATACAAAGATATAGGATCAATTTCCAAAGATACCACGCTACGTGGTCAAAAGTGAGGCACAGTTACATACCCAGAAATAATTATAATAAGTTCCTCACAAAAATGAACAGGTTGCTAGAAAGTAAATGCTTATCAAAACATCTTTAAGGAACATATTCTAAATACCTTATAAAAGTGTTAAAAAGCAAATGTGAAATAAATTTAAATATCTCCACTGACACTGTGAAACTGTTCTAGAGAACAATCTGACAATATGTAACAGGATCTAGAAAGCTGGTCAAGTACTTTGAACTAGTAATTTCAGTTTGGGGACTACACTTTTAAAGGAACACCCAAAGTAGGAGAAGCATTAAGTATTTTGAAAAAAGATATTCACAGTTATTACAACCTGAGAGAATACAAAATAATATAAATAATCAATAAAAGAATAGAGCTAAATGAAAACTACTATTATTGCCTAAACACAACAGGATATATGTATATGTGTGTGAGTACACAAATACATTTAAAATGACAACTATGTAACTATTTGATAGGTTAAAATTATGTATGAAATAATGTCCAAGTAAACCACAAAATAGTGCTCACCTTAATTTTAACTCTCCACGATGGAATACTATGCTGCTGTTAAAAAGAAGGAACTCTTACCATTTGCAACAGCATGGATGGAACTGGAGAGCATTATGCTAAGTGAAACAAGCCAGTCAATGAAGGAAA